AATAGATAAGTTCATATTAAGAGTTACGTACCGCTGCAACACAAGAAGGTGCACATGCTGGCATGCAAGACGGGCTACATTGAGGTTGAGGAATAGGGACTTGGGCCTAAGAGATTATTTGAATGTTAATGAATTGTTCTCCAACTGTTGCTTGCTCTGCTTAGAGTAGTAGAAAGGAAATTTTAAGAAAATAGAAGCGACTGGAGAAACTTTTTTGATCTCGTATTGAACTGACAAACTTAGATTAAATGTGTAATTTACGTTCACTAATCAATATCTTGTATTTCGAAAATTTCCAAGCACAGTTTGAAAGGTCAGTTTGACTTTTAACAACTCCCTACTTCAATAAAATATTTCATCTTTTGAGATCGCATGCAAACAAGCTACCCAAAATTTTTTACCATTTGTACGCAGCTAGGCTCACAAGCTGGCATACATTGTGAGACACATTGAAGTTGTGGCTGAACCGATACCGCTTGAACTACCTTAAAGAGGACGTTAACGCGAAAGTTTGCAACTTTCAAAGTAAGTGGAAAATTTAGTGAACAAAGAGTAAAGATATCTTACGTTTTGTATGCAAGTTGGCTCGCATACAGGCTGGCATTGTGGCTGACATGCAGGAGTCGTCACGGCCTGAGTCCCAGATTATTATTGAAGGATTATTTTTAAAAAAGGCAAATTTGCTTACCTTCTGGACACAGACGGGTTCACAGGCTGGCATGCACTGAGTAGCGCATTGGGCGTTAAGCGGCACCTAAAGATTCTTTTTGCGCCTGATTCTAAAACAGTGTACTCCAATGGAGAATTATATGTTTAGAAGGAATTCCCATTTTATTTGCAGGGTTCAAATAACAAGGCATTGTCCAACTAAACAAATTAAAGGCTTTTCTATTAGGACAAGTCCTCAAAAACTGATCTCCGCTAAGAACATACCGGTTGTACACACGACGGCTCACAAGCTGGTTGGCAAGCTGACTGGCAAGACGGGACTGCGGATACCATCTAGACAGTTGGTTTCGTTTTTGCTTGTGCACCATCTATTTAAAGAACAAATAAGCTCATTTAACTTACCTTCTGGATACATTGAGGTTCACAAGAAGGCATACACTGGGGAGCGCATGGAGGTTGTGCCGAGGCTACCTGTTGGATCTAAATGGGAAGCACCACCTACAGACCAGAGACAGATTTGAGATTTAGAGTTGATTCAGATTTTAATGAGCGCAAGGTGTAACTACCCACACACAGCATTTTTAAGAAAGGAAGTAATCAGATTAGGTGCAAAGGAAGTTGACGCAATTCACTGTTGAGTTTTGCCTTTTTTTCCAAAAAATGTGTGCATTATTCTATCTTTATGGTAGAGCCTACAGAATGTAATAAAGATGATTTTTTACTAATATTAGGATTTAGCAATTCAGATTCCTGTAAATTATATAGCCAGATAAAACCACCTGCTGAATGCAGGATGGCTCACAAGCTGGTTGGCAAGAAGGTTGACAGGACGGAGCTGCAGCGAGAACCTGAGCAGATAAAGTTGCATATGCCGAACTTTAGTTGGATCTGTGGATGCATAGTGAAAATAACGTGAGGCAAAACGGGGTTTGGATTTGAAGGCCCAGTTGCCCATTTCTTTTCCTGCTGGTTACAAATTTCGGCGTTGCTCTTGCGCAAGGGTTCGATGTGAAATCTTTCAATTCGACCATCATAATGCTTATGTTCTTTAACAAAGTAATGGTTGTTTTGATGTGATTACAATATTTACCTGCTGCACACAGGATGGTTCGCAGGAAGGTTGACAAGCAGGTTGGCAAACGGAGACTGCTGGGGCCTAAATACTCAAGGTATTGGCACAGTTTTAGAAAATTTGTTTTCTAAGGTTTTTGATTTTCAAGTTAGAACTTACTAAGGATGATGAGAAAAGTAGGATTACGTACCTTTTGAATGCAAACAGGTTCGCAGGCAGGCATGCACTGCGAAGCACATTGCGGTTGTGCCAAAACTACTGGTTGAATCAACTAAAATCATAATCTAAGATTCGTAAATTTATAGGGGAAAATTGAGATTACTCAATGCTGCTACCACAGGCTCTAATATTACTGAATCTATAAGCAAATGATTTTATGTTCAATGATAATGTAACGAAAGTAACTCTCATCATAAGTACTTGTTTAGGTCATGACAACTAGCAAAACTTCAGGGAATTACCTGCTGGACACAAGATGGTTCACACGCTGGTTGGCAAGATGGCGGACAAGATGGGATTAGAGCTGGGACCTAAAACGTAACTTATTCTTTGAATGCACATGAACAGAAGAAATTCAATCAGCTGAAGTCTAAAGCGACCTTCTGGATGCATTGAGGTTCACAAGCAGGCATACACTGGGGAGCGCACTGAGGTTGGACCGAGAGTACCGGTTGGATCTGAATGCGAAGCAGAATTTATAGAATTTTGGCAACTTCTCAAATTATGGAATTTTGTGACTTCTCAGACTATGGAAATTTGAATTTCAAAAGCGCAAGGTCTGAGTACACCATACACAACATTTTCAAGAAAGAAAGACTAGATTAGTGCACAGACAACCATGACAACGCTCAGATTCTTTAAATTTAGTATTTGTCCTGATAAGATTGCGATATTACCTGCTGCACACAGGATGGCTCACAGGCAGGTTGACAAGCGGGCTGGCAAGCAGGAACTGCTTCCATAACCTAAATATTCTAACTAAGTAGTGGCAAACCCCTTTAAAAACATTATCCAAAAAATTTTCAAAACTAGGACTTCAACTGATTAGTGATGATAAGAAGATGTTCGAACCTTCTGAATACAGACAGGTTCGCAGGCAGGCATGCATTGAGGTGCACATTGCGATTGCAACGAAACTGCAGGCTGAATCAACTAAAATAGAATTCTAAACATCATAGAGTAAGTAAACGTAACTAGTAAGCGTGTACAAGGAACATTGCAGAAGTAAAACCAGCTACTGATTATATACGCTTCATCATATATTCTAACATCATTGAGTCTAGAAGAAATTTGTTTGTTGTTTTTTT